AACAGAACCAACTGTAGAAATAAAACTGAGATTAAGACATTAACGATTAAGGGATGGGCGCCAGAAGACGGACACGCCCACGCAGGGAAAGTGACTTGAGTGGCGGGCGCCGAGTGTCGGTGAGGTATGTTGTCTCTACGAGATCTTAATATTAGCAAGTGTACACACACACGTACGTATATATATACGTGTGTGTGTGTATACAGTATATATATTGTGTATATATCTGTATATATATATGAGAAAGTATACATACATACATCATTTACAGATATATTAATATATATCTATATCTACTATCTATCACGTTATCTATTTTTCTTATCTTAACAGATTCCAGGATTCTTTTCTTTTTTAGGCAAGAAATCCCGGACTAATAGGTGGTCCGATTTTTTCTTTTCTTTTCTTTGGTTAGATCATAAAAAAGACAAATCCAAAGCCACCTCCTAGTTTACAGATTCTATCAATATGTTTACTTACCTATTCATTTATCCAGCTGTATTCCAGCCACATATGCATAAATATATGTGTGTAAACATACATGTATATGTTTATATATATGTGTGTGTGTGCGTATGTATACGTATGTATGTATATGGATAGATATATAGCTATCCCCGTCGCTAGAAATAGAAAGTGTGGCGCAATGCAGGTACTTTACCTCCCCCGTAGGACTACTTAAGCAAGCTCGAGGGCCTTCGAGGCATCAGTCACCCTGTGAACGCCATCGAGTGACGACCTACTCTGCTGCTTGTCCTGCTCCGCTTCTTAAGCTTTTGCGCTTCACAATGGCCGCTCACGGTACGGTCAAACGCTTAGCTGATATAGTATATGCATAAACGTGCCTGGGTGTTTGTGTGCAAATACTGATTATGCAGACCTCGATTTGATACTGTACTTGTGATATGTGAATGTCAATTTTATATGTTTGGATATTTGGAACTTAGGACCATTTCTGAGACCGTGAAATTCGGGTATAGAATGATCTTCAACAGATCGTCTAAAGGAATTTACTTCCAGTGGGTTTATCTCTCATATCACTTCAGACACACATGTGTATTGTTTTTGTTATTTCTGCCATCTTAACCATCTTGAACAAAACTGCAATCCGTGACTCATCCCTTTGCAGGAATCACCTTCGCCGCCCTCCTCCTCGCCCTGGCCGCCCTCACGCACGCAGCCGACGCCGCCACAAAAAACGACGCACGACTTCTCTTCGAAAACGCCGACAAATCCGTCACCATGGGCGCCGAGTCCCTCTTCTTCATCGGGGCCATCTTCGTCGGCCTGCTCTTGGTCTCGTCTCTCCTGGGGCTCTTCGGGACGTCGGCCGAGGTCGCTCAGCCCTACGACTACGCCTCCGCTACGTGAGTTTCGCCTCGTCTGGAGGTTTTGGTTTCTGCAATTGATCTCTTTATACATAAAATTTATATAATGGCATTAGTTTATATGAAAGCATAACTGTATTAATTTGATATTCATTCTAATCTCACTTTCGACAGCGGTTACGGTGCTCCTGCCCCAGCCTACAATGAGAAGACCAACTTCATCCAGCAACTGATTGAGGATGCTGCCAACAAGTTCCTGTAGAGACCGCGAGCATAAATTGCTATAAAGAACACTTTGTTAAGATTATTTATTTTAACAAAAACATTTCAATTTCACAGAAGACATGGGGAACCTGTGACTGATCTGTTGATCTGTTGTTTACTATATTTTATACTATTTATGATGTAAATAAATTGTTGTTGTTTTTTTCGTATATAATTTTTGACTATCCTTCTGACTTTGTTTTCCTCTTTTAGATTTGTTCCCTCTTTATCCATTTTTCTTTCGTTTTCTTCCTCACTCTCACTTTCTATATCCACTTTCTCCTTCTCTCTCTCCTCCAAACTCTCCTTTTCCCTCTCTTTTCCTTCTTTTCCGATCTCTCTTCTATCACATCTCTTTTCTTCCTTACTCTGCTCCCCACCCCTCCCTCTCTCTCTGTCTCTCTTATCTCTTATCCTTTTCTCCTCTGTCTCTCCTATGTTCTCTCTTTTACCTCTTTTTCTCTTCTCCGTCTCATATCTCCTTTCTTTTCTAACCTTCTCTCTCTTCTCTTATATATATATATATATATATATATATATATATATATATATATATATATATATATATATATATCAGTTCCTTCTTTCTCATTCTTCCCATTCTCTCATATATTTTTCTCTTATTCTAAATACTAACTGCTCTGAATTGCTATTTAAGTAAACGAGATTTATTTTTAAACATTGATCCATGTATTTCCATCTCTTTCCTGTGTATGTGACAGAAAAAAATATACATATATAAATATACATATATATATAAGCGATATGATGAAAGCATTAGCCTGATATGCACAGGCAGAAAGGGGAAATAGTGTTGCATTCCTACAGCGCAATTGCATATTGGCATTGCAAATATATCGTCTCGTTTCAGAAGGTTATCTTTAGAGTCCTAATCAGATTAGATCTTTAATTACCCAACTGCTTAACATTTCCTCTTTCCTCCTTTTTCTTGCATTTTTTTTATCGGGATTTTTGTTACTTGTTATCGTATGATGACAGTAATCACAACCCTTAGGTCAAAACACCAAAGTTAAGTGTACGTGTGTGTATGCGAATATATATATGTGTGTGGTGTGTGCGTATGATTGTACGTATATATATGTGTGTGTGTGTGTGTGTGTGTGCGTATGTGTGTGTACATGTGTGTATATATATGTATGTATATATATATATATATTATATATATATATATATACAAACATATATATATATAATATATATATATATAATATATATATGTATGTATATATGTATGTACAAATAAAGATTTAATGCATATAAATAGATAGATAAAGAAGTAGATAGAGATATAAAATAACCCGGAGAATGAACGTGAAGCGAAAGGGAAATAGAGAGCAATAACATAAACACTCGAAATCATAACCCGGT